TTCTTATTGCTCTCTCTGCTAAGAACAAGGCTGGGATGATTAATGGAAGAATCAACCAGCCATCTCCTAACTCTCCTCTATATGATCATTGGCTAAGATGCAATGACATGGTCTTTGCATGGTTGAGTAATTCAGTGTCTAGGGATATTGCTGACAGTGTTCTTTACTGTGATACTGCAAGAGATCTTTGGAAAGATCTAGAGGAGAGATATGGTCAATCTAATGCCAGTAGGTACTACCAAATTCAGAGAGAAATTGGAGGAGTCTCTCAGGGTTCTCGTGACATTGCTAGTTATTACACTAGGTTAAGAAAATTGTGGGATGAGTTAAAAACTGCTTCATTTGGACCAACTTGTACCTGTGGAGCAGAACCACTGTGCAGTGAAGGATAGAAGCTTATTCATTTTCTTACTGGGTTAAATGAAACATACTTTAATGTTAGAAGTAACATCCTTATGATGATTCCTGTACCTTCCTTGAGTAAAGCCTATTCAATGTTGCTACATGATGAGAGTCAAAGGGAGATTCGGGTTTCAGGATCTTCATTTCTCTCTGAATCAACCTCTTTTCATGCCAAATCCTCTCCTGTCCAAAACACTTCAACAAGCAATTCTTATTCTCAGAAGATCAATTTTGAGAACAAAAGGTCCAACATTGTGTGCAAATATTGTAGAAAGCCAGGTCATTCTGTTCACAAGTGTTATAGGCTGCATGGATTCCCTAGTGACTTCAAATTCACCAAGGGGTAGAAGACTGTGGCTTGTTTTCAGCTTGGTGATCCAAAAACTGATTCCTTCTCAGCTCCTGATGTTCTACCTGGAAGTCCAGTTCATGGTTTTAGTAAAGAACAGTATCAACACCTCATGAGTCTCTTCCAACAGTCTCAAATTTCTGCTGCAAATTAGGATCCCATTATTGCTTCTTCTGCTATGGGAGCATTTGCAGGTGTGTTATGTAGTTTTGCTGTATATTCTATTGCTTTATGCTGTGTTTCTCAATTAAATGTCAACACTTGGATTCTAGATTCAGGAGCTACTAACTATATGACCCCACATAATGAACTCCTACACAATATTCAACCATTACCTTCCCCTTACTTGGTAACACTACCAAATGGTTACAAAGTAAAAGTTAATTGCACTGGTTCTTTGAAACTATGTAATGATCTAATTCTAACAAATGTGCTTTTAGTTCCTTCTTTTCAATTTAATTTGATTTCTGTGCTACAGCTAGCTGATCAATTTCTGTGAACAACCCTCTTTACCAATATCTCTTATTGTATACAGGCTCCTTCTCTGAAGAGGCCACTGGAAATTGGTAGGGCTGCCAATGGGTTGTACATCATTCATTCAGATCTCATTGTGGGACAGTCTGATTCACATGTAAATACCATATTAGCTATATCTTCTTCTCTTAAATGTGGTTACAGTGCTTGTACAACTACTTGTAATCATGTTTCTTCTATTAATAAAGCTGATCTTTTCTGGCATCAAAGATTAGGGCATATGCCATTTCATAGAATGAAATCTATCTCGGTTCTTTCTGATAAGTTGTCTTCAAAACAGTCCTTTATTTGTCATGTCTGTCCATTAGCTAGACAACAAAGACTTTCATTCCCTGATGGCACTATCAAGTCTACTCACCATTTTCAGCTTGTACATATTGATCTATGGGGCCCTTATCATACAACGTATAATGGTTTTAGATATTTCTTCACTATTGTTGATGATTTCTCAAGAGTAACCTGGACACACTTACTTTCTTGCAAAAGTAATGCTTTTTCCATTATCAAAGCTTTTGTTTCCATGGCCCAGGTTCATTTCAGTTCTAAAGTTCAAACAATTAGATCTGATAATGCATTTGAGCTAGGCTCTAGTGCACAAATTTCTTCCTATTTTGCTGATTCTGGGATTCTTCACCAAACCACAATTTCCCATACTCCTCAAAAAAATGAGGTTGTTGAGAGAAAACATAAGCATCTCTTAGAAACATCAAGATCCCTTTTATTTCAATCTAAACTACCTGTCAAATATTGGGGTGACTGTGTTCTTACTGCCACCTATTTGATAAATAGGTTTCCCTCCAGTGTGTTACACAATATGTCACCTTTTGAAAAACTTCATGGCCAATCTCCTACATACTCTCACCTTAGAACCTTTGGTTGTCTTTGTTTTGCTACATTACCAAAGGTGGGTAGGGACAAATTTCAACCTAGAGCATCTCTATGTGTTTTCTTAGGTTACCCTTTAGGAAAGAAAGGGAATAAGTTGCTCAATCTTACATCTCATTCCATTTTATTTTCTAGAGATGTCATTTTCCATGAACATATCTTCCCTTATCATTCTCCTTCTCCTTCTTCTGTTTTTCCAATTACTTCTGATCCTTTCATAGACATTTCTCACCTAATATTTCTTCTATTTCTCCTGATAATACAACTTCTGCCTCACCACCTGTTCAGGCTGTTCAATCTACTTCACCAGTAGATACTTCTTCTTATGCTCCTCCTCCTAGTTTTCCTTCTTCTTCTCCTGTCTCTTCTACTACTTCTCCTATTGTGTCACTTAGGAGATCCAAATAGAGATTCTAACAAACCTGTGTATCTTCAGGATTATGTTTGTTACACAGCAATCCCCACCTTTCCTATAAATTTCATGGTTACCTCTACTGAGATTCATACGCTTGAGCCTCAGTTTTACCATCAAGCAGCATCTTATCCTGCCTGGCAGGATGCTATGGTTAAGGAATTTCAAGGTTTGGAGGCAAATCAAACTTGGGACATTGTTCCATTGCCTCCAGGTAAGAAAGCTATACCATGAAAATGGGTATACAAGATCAAACAAAAGTCTGATGGTTCAATTGAGAGATACAAGGCAAGGTTAGTGATTAGAGGTGATTCCCAGAAAGAAGGCATAGATTATTTTGAAACATTTAGTCTAGTTGTCAAGATCACAACTGTCAAGTGTTTTCTCACCTTAGCAGTCAAGCATGGTTGGGCAGTCCACGAGTTGGATGTCAACAATGCTTTCCTACATGGGGATTTTCATGAGGAGGTATACATGAAAATACCTCTAGGGTTAACTGTGGGTCCTTCTTCTTTTGATCCTCCTTTAGCATGCAAGTTAAAGAAATCCCTTTATGGTTTGAAGCAGGCTTCTAGGCAATGGTTTGCAAAACTTTCCAATCTCTTATTTCCAAAGATTACTCCCTAGCAAGATGACTCCTCTTTATTCACCAAATCACTGCCTCCTCCACTTGTTATTTTAGTGGTATATGTGATGACATTCTATTGTTGGTGATGATGTTGAAGAAATTTCAGATTTCAAAGCCTATTTAGATCAACAATTCAGGATCAAAGATCTTAGTTCTATTCATTATTTTCTTGGCCTTGAAGTCTCTTTGGTGGAAGGTGGTTATGTTGTGCATCAACACAAGTACACCAAGGATCTCCTATCTGAATTTCATTGTCAAGATGCCAAGTCTGTTACTACTCCTGTTGATCCTTAACACAAACTCCACATTGATTCTAGTGATCCACTTTTTGATCCTTCTGTTTATAGGAGGTTAATTGGGAAGTTGAATTTTTTGCAACACACTAGGCTGGACATTTCTTTCTCTGTTCAACACTTGAGCTAATTTTTTTTGGTCTCTCCTAAGGTTCCTCATATGTTGGCTGCTCTACATGTTCTCCGCTACCTTGGTAATGATCCTGCCCAGGATATTTTGCTACGCAACACTCCTGATTTCAGCCTCAGGGCTTACTCAGATTCTAACTGGGCTGCCTGCCCTATCTCGAGGAGGTCTGTTACTGGATATTATACACCATAACTCCCAATATCCACACTTTATTACAGCCATAATACCGCAGTAAGATTCAACTAAATCCTCCCTAAGCTCGTATAACACAAACCATCTAACATCTCAAATCATGTGCAAATCTCACATTCGCCCTTGTAACAGTCAAGCCAACTCTCATAAGCAATCCAAACTTTCAAATTGTAGCACATATAATTCACTGGTAAAAAAGAACTCTCAACAAACAACATAGTGATAACAAAAGCCTCAGGACACCCCGCAGGAGATAGCCTACCTGCTTTGCCTCAAACTGACCTCTCTCTATACCCTTCCACAGTCATAAACATTACGCAATCACTTAATCTTCCTGAGTCTGAACTCATATCACGACATGAAATCTACTTCAATCCTCAACTAATCAACATGAAAAGACCGTTCAACACACCCATAACTCGGGGCTATACATCAAATCAAGATGGAAATCAAGCACCAAATAGTTCTTTCTACACTTCAAGCAGACCATTCTCGTCACATTCAACAATATGAACATATCTCGCAGTAACATCATACTCATCACGTAGCCATCCAGCCACAAATTCTACTAATAGGGACAAAATCCAAAAGCACATGCTCACAAAATCAACACCTCTGTGCTCAAACCACAGTCAAAACCCGGCCTCAAGTCCTCCAGACTGGCCCATCATCAGCATACCGAAATCACATCTCACACCTCTTCCATGGAATCACAAATCGGCGATGTACAGCTCATACCGAGCGCTCACATGCGCATACGAATGCGTGGAAAGAAATTCAAAGAGTTACGCTACAAGCTAAATCAATACCGCATGATAAGGAAAGAAAGATGGGAAGTATATCCTAAATGTCCTGTAGCCTCTCGAAGATAGATATGGACGTCATCATACCGATCCACAAGACTCTACTAGACACTTGCTCATGACTTGTAGAACCTATGAACCTAGATCTCTGATACCAATCTGTCATGACCCAAAATCCACCAGTCGTGATGGCACCTAACCCATCCCGCTAGGTAAGCCAATTAACAATTATCCAATTCCATTTAACTTAATAAAACAATTAAATAACAGAATTATCTAAATCTTATACATTTCCCAAGGACTGGTAGTACAAATCATGAGCTTCTGAGAATAGAGTTTACAAAACAGATATGAAGAAAATACATCTTCTGTTCGAAAATTTCATAAATAGAGTTTATAAGTCTAAGGCTACCGTGATCAAGAAGCAGCTACAGCAGGAACACAAGTACGCCTTGAAATCCAGCAACCATCGATCGCAGCAACCTCAGCATCCGGGATCTAAACGCAATGTGTAGGAACTGCAGTATGAGTACAACCAACCCCATGTACTCAAAAAGTACCAAACCTAACCTCAGGTTGAAAGCAGTGACGAGCTGGAACATAGTTCCGGTCCAACACAAATAACCAACAGTAGTTCATACAGTGTACAACCAATAAATAAATAAAATAGCTCAGAAATAGAGTGCTCATCCTTTTCATAGTTTTCCGAAAAATAGTTCCACTTTTCAAGTATACCAATGAAAGTCCAAATCCTCTACCGAAAT